CACTCCGACGGAGTCGGCAGTGGTTGCAAAGGAGCCTGTGAGTGAGGTGTTATCTTCACTCGCTGGCAAACATCGCAAGTACGTACTTGCACACCCGCTTGTACAGGTGGTTCCAGTAGAAGTCTCTCGTGAGAAGAGAATACATCTTGTCACGTCCCGGATGTCCTGCAGTGGGGACATCGTGATACTCGTACATGATCCTGCTGCGCAGGTCAGGTTCATTCGGCACGAGAATGTGGAACGCATTGTCGTCTACAGCGCTGTAAACAGTAGACCGTCGTGCACACAATACCGGTATTGCCTCGCTCGTAGACGAAGGGCTAACTTCCGACGTGCTTTGTCGGAAGGAGCTGAGAGAAACTCGATCGGCTGCTTCGCGTCTGCGTCATGCGCACACGCGGCCTTCACCTCGTCCAACAAGGACGACGACGGCGTGTATGTTCGAGCGACGTCATTCCGGTTGACGTCGACTGTCTTGACAGCATAAAATCCGGTCGTCGCGACAACGCGTCCGCGCCGACATTCAACCTTCCGGGTTTGTACTCGACCCCGAAATTGTACTCCGCGAAGAAGGACAACTATCTCGCCAGTCGTTGCGAGATGTGCGGAGACTTCACAGCCGTCCGTAACGACGCGTGGTCCGTATAGACCACGAACGGCGTGTTGCCGAATAAGCACACTCGGAACTTCGCGAGTGTTGGCAAGGGGTTCCATGTCATGTACCGGATAGTTTCCCTCAGCTGGCTTTCGCTGACGCGACTGGCAGTAGTCGACGCGATCACGACCCTCGTGACCGAGTTGCATTAACGCACATCCGATCCCAAAATCGGATGCGTCACACACTACAAGAAAGGAACGATCTTGGTCAACCTCAGCCAAGATCGGCGCTTCAGTCAAGCCCAGCGTGACTGCATCGAACGCCTGCTGACACTCAGCAGTCCATTCCCATGCAGTTTCCTTCTTTCAGAAGCTGCGATAGCTGGCGAATCTTGCCTGCGTAGTTGTCCACGTACTTGCACAAGTACGTGTCAAGGCCAAGGAACTGCCGCAGTTCCTTCACGTTGGATGGTGTAGGCCATTCATTGATCACTCTGACCTTCTCGGGGTCAGGGCGTACGCCATTCTTTCCCACGAGACACCCTAACACGGGTATCTCGCTCGCACCGAAGATGCACTTTTTCAGGTTCGCATAGAGCTTGTCCGTGAGCCCAAATAGTTCCCAGAGATCTCCTTGTGCATCTTGACGTCCGTCTTCTCGTTCACAGCCCGGATATGAACGTAAACAATATCGAAGTAGCTCGGTGCGAAGTCGCGCACCGAACGCAATAGATGCGTCATGCATCTATTGAAGTTCGCAGGGGCGTTCTTCAGTCCTTGCAGCATAACTAGCCACTCCCAAAGCATACCACTTGGGGTGCTTACCGCCGTGAGAGGGATATCGCTCTCACGCATCAGGATCTGATATCTCTCAGATCAAGAGCACTGTAGATGGTGCTCTTGGACATCGAATCGATGATGACATCTTTTCGCGGTATCGACGTCGGTGCTGGTATCGTCGCATCGTTCAGCTTGTTGTACGCGTGAACGATGCGCCATCCACTCTGTGGCTTATGACACAGAACGTTTGTGCGCTGTGCGGGGACTTTGATTCCCGCACT